GCCAGGCCATCTTGCCCCCGGCAATTCGGAGCCCAGAGTTGCGACGATCTCTCAACGCAATGTAATGCAGTGCCATGGGAAGTGACGCAACAGAAATGCAATGCCATGCGTTGTAATGCAATGCCATGCAATGCAACGCAAAGGCACTCCATGCAATGTGATGAGACAGTGGCTTCCACTGCGTGGGATGCGGGATAGAGATAGAGAGGGAAAGGAGGAGCACGGAGGAGGAGGTGTAGTTATTTTTCCAGAGCTCCCCATGCAACTTGGCATGAACCACTGTGCAACACCAGTAGCAGGAGGCAGGGCTGGCAACACGATCAAGCAAACGAAACGCATTTAGCAGGCCAAGAAGCTCACTTAGCAGGAAGAGGACGCTTTCGGCGACGGCGGCGGCGACGACGACCGACGACGACGGCCGCCGAAGGCCGCCGAGGCAGAGGAGGAGGAGGAGGAGGAGGAGGAGGAGGAGGAGAAGGAGGAGGAGGAGGAGGAGGAGGAGGAGGAGGAGGAGAGGGAGGAGGAGGTGACAAGGAAGAGTGGGAGGAGGAGGAGGAGGAGGAGGAGGAGGAGGAGGAGAAGGAGGGAGTGGTAGGACGTGACAAGAGGAAGGATGGGGAGGAGGACAGGAGGAGGAAGTGGAGGAGGAGGAGGACGAGGAGGATGACGAGAAGAAAAACAGGACCAGCAGCAGGAGGCGGAGCTGGCAACAGGATCAAGCACATCGGGAGCCCACTTAGCAGAACAGAAGCCCACTTAGCAGGAACACGACTTAGGAGGAGGAGGAGGAGGAGGAGGAGGAGGAGGAGGAGGAGGAGGAGGAGGAGGAGGGAGGAGGAGGCGGAGGCGGAGGGAGGAGGAGGAGGCGGAGGCGGAGGAGGATCAGGAGGCGGAGGAGGATCAGGAGGCGGAGCAGGAGGAGCCGGAGGCGGAGGAGGAGGAGGCGGAGGAGGAGGAGGAGGAGGAGGAGGAGGACCATCCGATGATGACCGACCCTGTCGCAGTGATGCGACCGGGAACAGTTTTTATAAGGAACAGGAATGGAGGAGCAGAAGGAGGAAGAGGAGGAGGAGGAGGAGGAGAAGGAGGAGGAGGAGAGACGATAACGAGGACGGGGACGGGGATGAGGACGAGGACGAGGACGAGAACGAGGACGAAAATGAAGAAAGGAGGAGGAAGAGGAGGAGAAGGAGGAGGAGAAGGAAGAGGAGGAGGAGGAGGAGGAGGAGGAGGAGGAGGCAGAGGAGGAAACGGAGGACGAGGAGGAGGAAGAGGAGGAAGAGGAGGAGAAGGAGGAGGAGGAGGAGGAGGAGGAAGAGGAGGAGATGGACCAAAACAGGGTCTGGACATCCTCCTGGTTCTCCCTTTCCGGCCCACGACATGCTCGACCCCTTCCAGGGCGCCCGGACTTCGCCCCACGCTGCTGGAACAGTTCCGGAGGTGCCAGAAGGTGACTGGAGTGGCCTGAGGGCCGCAGACGCCCGAATGGGACGGCGACGTTTCTTCAAGAGCTTTTTCCCCCTCTTTGTCAATTCAAGCTTCGCGCGGCCCGCTTGGCTTCGACCGGAGGAGGTGCGCTCTCGACCCGCGAATCAAACAAGTTTCTTCAAGAGGCTTCGAAAACATTTTGATAAGGCTCCAAGATGCGCCCCGAGAGGGCCCCAGAAGGCCAAAAGTGCTTCGTCCCTGAAGCAAGCAATCAGTTTTGGCGACGGGCCCATCGTTGTGCAGTCATGTGTAGCGCAGGGCGCGGGCCTCACTTCATACATTGCGCGCCGTGGGGCGATGCCAAAAGATGGCTGCTGCGGAGCACGCGTGCACGGGCACGCTGAACTCTTCATGGCCCCCGCGCGAGCATGCTCACTGAGGCCGCAAGTGGACCTCTTCTGAACACGACCCGTGCGAGGCATGTTCCGAAATGGTCGGGGGGAGCGCCATGCGAAGTTGCCCATTGGTGCCATAGTCAGGCGATCGCAAACATGGATCAAGGGGCGTGGATTAGCGACGGGTCCCTTTTCCATGGGAAATCGCGGATTTCCGCCGCCGAACGAGGCGGCACCGGCCACATTTTGGGGAGGTGCGCCAAATCCATGGATCGCTAATCCATGTTTGCGCGCCCCCGACATGGGTGGAGCCCCTTCTGGGGAAGATTCGCGTGACAGGTGTGCCGAGATGGTCGGGGGGGCGTTGTACGAACCTTTGTCTCTGGGCTTTTAGGTGGTGCTCCTTGTGGGCACAATCCGCGTGATGGGATGTGCCGCAGTGGTCAGGGGGGGCGCAGTACGAACACTGCTTCTGGGGCCGTAGGTGGATATCCCTGTGTGCCACGATCCGTGTGCAAGGTGTGCCGAAGCAGGCGGGGGTGCGGGATGCGAACCTTGTCTCTGGGGCCGTCCGTGGAATTTGTTGAGGGCCACGATCCGTGTGAGAGGCCGAAGTGAGTTGGGCGACGTTATGATGAATGAAACTGCCCACTGGTGCCACCTATGAACTTACTCGCGGGGCACGACCCGCCTGAGGGCCCCATACAGCCCAAGACGGCCCAAGAGGCCCCCAAAGACGACCGAAGATGGCCCCGAGAGACCCCCAAGAGGCAGCCAAGAGGGTCCCAAGAGGGGGCCGATAGGGGGGGGCATCGGGGAAGATTATGGCGGGTAAGAACTCCCGGCATGCCCCCAATACTCTCCCGGAGGCCCCCGAGAGGCCACTTCAAGGAGCCCCAAGAGACCTCCAAGATGCCTTGACTAGCTCCTTGAAAGGGTTCGAACAGGATTCGGAGAGGCCCTCAGAAACCCCCAAGAAGCCCATCACAACAATTCGAGAGGCTTCCAGAGGCTCCCGAGAAGCTCCCAACAACCGCCAAGTGGGCCGCATAAAGACCCCATGAGACTTCCTGAAGGGCTTGGTCCGAGCCAAGAGCGCCAAAAAGCCGAACAGAGTTCCCAAATATCAGCAAGACGCCCCAAGATGGCCCAAGAGTTCCCAAGAGCCTCCTCAGAGGCCCTCAAGGCGCCCCCTAGGGAGCCCCCCCAAGACAGCCTTCAGACGTTCTAGGAAGAACGCCAAGAAACCTCTTCACTCCAAGCTGGCCCATGGCATCTTCAATACCCGTCGGCGCCGGCTCTGCACAGTTCGAAGGTTCCAACTAAATGGTCCCCACACATAAGTGTAGCACCCAAGGGTCAGTGGGTACCTGGGGGGGTCTGGGGAGTTTCCAGGATTCCTTTTGAGTGGTCCCAGATGGAGGCCAGGCTCACCATTGTGGTTGTCGGAAAGGCTCTTCGGAGATAGCGTGCGCCTCAGTCCTCCTTCAATCTCCACTTTCCCCCGACCTTATATGCCAGGCTACGCAAATGAAGCGAAGTCGTCTCACCTGGCTGCTTGTGCCAAAGCATGTTGCCAGCCGTGCAAATGGGTGCTTCGTGGTTTTGTCGAGACCGCTTTTCGCGACAAGTGCGGCGGCGCCTCACGTAGCTGATCGTGCCAGAGCATGCTTTCGACCATGTGCTAAACAATCTGCATTTGCCTGCGCTGCTGCTGTTTCCCTTCCCGTTTGTCCTTCCCGCTCCTCCTTGTTGCCTGCCCTCATCTTTCTGCTTGTGCTGCTGCTGTCCACCGCGTGGCGATGTGCTTCTGTCTCTGCACCAAAGCCGTCGCCGCGGGCAGGATGGGCGCGGGAGTCTGCAGTCCACCGCCGTGGACGTTGACCACGAGAGTCCTAGGAACTGTTGTAAGCTCTTCAAACGACTGTGCGAAGCGCCAAGGCGAGAGGCACATTTTGAAAAGGAGCCGCCCTGCGGCGCTACCAGGCGAGAGCCACGTTTTGAAAACCGCCCGCCCTCCATCCGTGAGGCCCCTCGGAATGTTCAAGACAACTGACCGCGGCGCTACGGCGGGAGCCACATTTTGAACACCACCCGCTCTCCATCCGTGAAGCTGTTCGGATGAAGTTTTCAAGACAAATGCGCGCGACGTTGAGGCGAGAACCACATTTTGAAAAGCACCCGCCCTGCACCCGTAAGGCTGTTCGAAGGACGTTTTCGAGACAAATTTGCGCGGCGCTCAGGCGAGAGCCACATTTTGAAAACCACCTGTCTTGCATAGTGAAACTGTTCGAAGGAGTTTTTCAAGGCAAATGTGCGCGGCGCCATAAGGCGAGAACCATGTTTCAAAACCACCTGCCCTGCATCCATGAAGCTGTTCGAAGGAAGTTTGTATGACAAATGCGCGCGGCGCTGAGGCGAGAGCCACATTTTCAAAAGCACCCGCCCTGCATCCATGAAGCTGTTCGAAGGAAGCTTTCAAGACAAATGTGTGCGACGCTGAGGCGAGAGCTACATTTTGAAACCCACCCGCCCTGCTCCGTGGAACTGTTCGAAAGAAGGTTTCAACACAACTGCGCGCGGCGCTGAGGCGAGAGCCGCATTTTGAAACGAACCCGCCCTGCATCCGTGAAACTGTTCGAACTAAGTTTTCAAGACAAATGCGCGCGGCGCTGAGGCGAGAGCCGCATTTTGAGACGAACCCGCCCTGCATCCGTGGAACTGTCCGAAGGAAGTTTTCAAGACAAGTGCGCGCGGCGCCGAGGCGAGGGCCGCACTTTGAAAACCGCGTGCCCTCCACCCGCGAAGCTGTCCGAAGTGTTCAAGACGAGCGTGCGTGGCGCTGGGGCGAGAGCCCCATTTTGGAAACCAGTCGCCGAAGCTATCCTCCTCCTCCTCCTCCTCCTCCTCCTCCTCCTCCTCCTCCTCCTCCTCCTCCTCCTCCCTCCTCCTCTCTCCTCCTCCTCCTCCCTCCTCCTCCTCCTCCTCTCCTCCCTCCTCTCCTCTTCCTCCTCCTCCTCCTCCTCCTCTCCTCCTCCTCCTCCTCCTCCTCCTCCTCCTCCTCCTCCTCCTCCTCCTCCTCCTCCGCCCTCTATCCGTGAAGCTCTTCGAAGCCATGTTTAATACATGTGCGCGACGCTGAGGCGAGAGCCCCATTTTGCAGATCCACCATCATCCACCCGCCCTCCATCTGTGGAGCTCTTCGACGTGGTCAAGACGAGTGTGCGCGGCGATAAGGCGCGATCCACATTTTGAAAACCACCCCCCCTCCATCCGTGAAACTGTTCGAAGGAAGTTTTCAAGAAAAATGCGCGCGGCGCTGAGGCGAGAACCACATTGTTTCAAAACCACCCGCCCTGCATCCGTGAAACTGTCCGAAATGTTCAAGACGAATGTGCGCGACGCTGAGGCGAGGGCCCCCCTTTGAAAACCACCTGCCCTGTATCCGTGAAACTTTTCGAAGTTTTCAAGACCAATGCGCGCGACGCTAGGGCGAGAGCCATTAAAAACCACCCGCCTTCCATCCGTGAAGCTCTTCAACATCTTCACGACGAATGTGCGCGGCGCTAAGGCGAGAGCTACCTTTTTGAAAACTACTCGCCCTGCATCCGTGAAGCTTTTCGGCATGTTCAAGACGAATGCGCGCGGCGCCAAGGCGGGAGCCACAGTTTGAAAACCACCCGCTTCCATCCGTGAAGCTGAGGCGAGAGCCACATTTTGAACACCACCCGCCCTGCATCCGTGTAATTGTTTTAGGTTTCCAGGCGAATGCGCGCGGCGCTCAGGCGAGAGCCACATCGTCAAAACCACCTGCCCTCCATCCTTGAAGCTCTTCGACATGTTCAGGACGAGCGTGCGCGATGCCAAGGCGAGAGCCACATTGTGAAAACCACCCGCCCTCCGTCCGCGAAGCTCCTGCAGGATGTCATCCTTGGGATCGTAAAGAAGGCTCAGGCGCAGCGACCAGCCCGCCCTACCAGCACGCTTCGGGGCGCGACAGGAAGGAGTTTTATTCACACGGAAAAGGGATGGGAGGAGGAGGAGGAGGAGGAGGAGGAGGAGGAGGAGGAGGAGGAGGAGGAGGAGGAGGAGGAGGAGGAGGAGGAGGAGGAGGAGGAGGAGGAGGAGGGGGAGGAGGAGGAGGAGGAAGAGGAGGAGGAGGAGGAGGAGGAGGAGTAGGAGGGGGAGGAGGAGGGGGAGGAGGACTAGGAGGAGGAGGAGGAGGAGGAAGAGGAGGAGGAGGAGGAGGAGGAGGAGGAGGAGGGGGACCAGGAGAAGGCTGAGGAAGAGGAGGAGGATGGAGCGGATTTGGGTCGAGGGACGGGGTCTCCGCACCGAGCCGCTGTGTCGGCGACCCCGGGTCGCCTGGACTCACCGGCATCGAAAGATTTGCGCTGTGTCGGAGGGCCGCGATTGTTAGGGGAACAGTGACATAAACATAAAAATTCGGAGGTCCGCGCGGATTTCTCGGATCGGCGCTGGACCCCCCTCCCTGGCGCGCGGAGCGCGCCAGGGGCGGCGCCAGAGGCGCCGCCTGGGGGCCCCAGCGCCGATCTTAGAAATCCGCGCGGACCTCCGAGTTTCTATGTTTACGTCACTTTTGTTCCCCTAATTGTGGATCGCCCAGGGATCCACGCGAAAGGCAGCAGGGGTCCGATCGGCTCCGCAAACATGGGAGCGACCAGTTTTGGGGCCGCTTTCGGCGTGCGGGTCCCTCGCCTGGCCCCCCAGGCCGTCGAGCGAAGAGGTTTGAGTCGGGCCCGTCCCTCTACAGGAGGGATATTCAAAAATAGTCAAGAAATAGTCTGGGGACAATTTTTTGATTATTCTTTGATCATTTTGGAGGTTGTTTGTATTTTTTTCGTTTTTCGTCGAAAATCCCCCCTGTAGGGGGACAGGCCCGACTTAAGAATAGGTATGAAAATCCGATGGTTTTCTAGAGAATTCGCACGCGCGCGAGCGCAGGCTCTTTCGAATAATCCTGTTGCGAATCTTTGTTTTAAAGTGTTCGGGGCACTTGATTTTGAAATCCTGGCGAAACCTAAGGTTGTTGGAAGATTCCGGCACGCGCGCGACGACGCGCGCGTGTGCCATTCGTTCCGATGTTGGCAAGGCACGCATGGAAACCAAAGATGTGTCAGAAACGAGCGTGCGCGCATAGAGCTTCTCCAAGACCGACATCCCGGACTGCCTGACATGGTGTGAATTCAAATTTCGGATGAACGGGTGTGCAGAATCATATGCGAAAAACAATACGCGGAAAGTGCACCGTTAAGCCGGGGGGTGGGGGAAAATCTGAATATTTTCCGGAGAATCTACGCGGCGCAATTCACTTTGCCGACCTTGAAACTATCAACACCATTGCTTGCGCAATCATGCCACCCACCTGCCCGCAATTTGGTTTGCAAAACCCATGCGGCGGCGAGTGCGATGACTGTTCGGCCCTGGCTGGCGCATCGCCGCGGCCGCGCTAGCGCGCGGGCTTGCGCGGAAAGCGGCCAGGTAGTCTGACGCGGCCGACGCGGCCGCGGTGGCGCTGACCGTTGGGGACTGCCCAGCACGTCCCACAGACCGCGCTGATGCGCGGGCACTTCAGTGCGGGTCGGTGATTCGGGTGGGCGCGCTATCATGGCGAGGTCGACAACGGCATACATGATGATGACACCGTCGATGCTGGTAACAACGATGACAACGACGACGACCAGGGCAATTGTGTCGATGCTGATCACGCCGATGACGAAGATGGTGTCCTCGCTTCGGTGATGAAGGTTGTGGTAAGGATTTCGACATGCGCGCGCCCGACGCGCGCGAGTGGCGCGCATGGTGTTATTGGACATGGGCCGTACCCCACCCCGCCCAGCACGGGCGCAAGGGCGTTCGAATGATTTCGACATGCGCGCGCGCCCGACGCGCGCAAGTTGCGCGCATTGTGTTATTGGGACATGGGTCGTACCCCACCCCGCCCAGCACGAGTGCAAGGGCGTTCGAATGATTTCAACACGCCCGCGCGAGAGGCCCGATTGGCCGCATGTGATGAGCATGTTGAAAACCGATGGTTTTTTTTCTAAGAAATCGCACCAGAGCCAGCGCCGTCTTTCTGTTTTAAAGTCTATGTTGCGAAACCATTGATTTCCTATATGCGTTTCGGGACATTCGGTGTTGATATCCTGGCGACACCTTAGGTTTTTTTGAAGGAGTTCAGCATGCGTGCACTCTGGTTCGTTCCCTGCACGGGGTTATTGCGACAGCATGCGCGCAAAGGGCGTTCTCATGATTTCGACATGCGTTCGCGGGAGGCATGTGTTTGGCAGCATGGGTGCGAGCGTTGAAGAAAAAAACAGAAATCGCAAGAGCGCGAGCGCAAGTTGTTGCGTGAAGAGCTCTTGTTGCGAAACCGCTGTTTTTGTTCAAGTATTTTTTTGAACATACGATCTTGGAATCAGTGTGAAACCATGCCATTGCGCGCTCCCGACGACGCGCGCGTGTGCATTTCGTCCCGTTTTTTGGCCACGGGCCTGTGGAAAGTGGCAACGTGTGATAAACGAGTTTGCGCGCATAGTGTCTTTTGCCACGGATGAAATGGGGTCAGATATCCAGATCGCTTGGGATGGTATGATTTTATTCTGGATGGACGAGTGTGCACCGTCATATACGGAAAATCAATACGACAAATTGACTGTACGTCCGGGTGGGGGGGGCGACCGCGTATTTTCTTGGAAAAGCGAATTTATGTGGCGCGAAGCAGTGCGAAACAGTACAGCGCATTGCGACTGCAAAGCAGAGCGGTCGCGGTCGCAAAGCAATGCGATTGCAATGCGCAGCGATTCAAGGTAATGCGAAGCAATGCAAAACGACGGGGCGGCGACCCTGGCGGCGACGGCGACAACAGGGCTGCGACGGACGACGGGCGGTGTCGAGGCGGCGATGGGGCGGCGACGGCGAGCACGGAGCCGCCAGACCAGGCTTCAGGCCCACGCGACGGGCGGCGACGAGGCGGCCACGGGGCGGCGACGGCGAGTACATAGCCGCCAAACCAAGTTTCAGGCCCAGACGACGGGCGGCGACGGGGCGGCGACGGCAGGTACATGGCCGCCAGATCAAGTTCCAGCCCCTAGGTGCAATCATTATTTCGGGAACACCGAACTGTGGCGCACAATCGTGTCGGATACGCGTTATCATGCAGTTTGACCCGAATTCCTCACCTGGCCCGTGGACCCCTCAAGTTCAACACGGTGTCCCCCCGGAACCCACCTGGCGTTTTTCACAGTCCCACACTCTCATCCTCCTCCTCCTCCTCCTCCTCCTCCTCCTCCTCCTCCTCCTCCTCCTCCTCCTCCTCCTCCTCCTCCTCCTCCCCGTTCTCCTCCCCCTCCTCCTCCTCCTCCTCCTCCTCCTACTCCTACTCCTCCCCCTCCTCCCACACCCTGGCGAGGGACCCCACGGCGGCCCCAAACCGGCGAACAACCACAACGCATCTATAGTTGCCCAAACACGCTGGAGGCCTAAGGACGGCGGTGACGACGACGGTGGCGACGACGGCGGCGGCGGCCACGGCGACGACGGCAGCCACGATGATGACGACGACGCTGCTGCTGCGACGACGACAACGACGAGGACGACAGCGACGACGGCGACGGCGACGGCAACCGAGCGACCCCCGAGACCTCCGCCGTGGTGCCGTATGATGGCAAGGATCTCGGGGCGAGCCCAGCCGCGACCACGAAGGCGCCCCCCGAGACCCGAGGAGGCTCGAAAACCTGGAGCCTCGAGCGTCGATCGATCGATCTTCAGTCGATCGGCGACGGCGACGACGCACGACGACGACGACGACGACGACGACGACGGCAACGACGACGGCGACGACGACGACGACGGCGGCGACGGCGACGGCGACGACGACGGCGACGACGGCGACGACGACGACGACGACGACGACGGCGGCGGCGACGGCGACGACGATGACGATAACGACGACGACGGCGGCGACGAGGACGACGATGACGATAACGACGACGACGGCGGCGACGAGGACGACGGCGACGGCGACGACGGCGACGGCGACGGCCTGCTTCGATGGCCGGCCGGCGCCGCTCGGCGGCCAGGCCGAGCGAGGCCGCGGCGCGCCCGGCGGCGGAGGGGCCGCGGCTGCGCTCGGCGCGGCGGGGGCGCCCCGCGAGGTGGGGCGCCGCCCGCGGGCTGGGTTTCGTCGTCGTCCGGACCCCGTGCCCTCCTCCCTCCTCGTCCTCCTCCTCCTCCTCCTCCTCCTCCTCCTCCTCCTCCAACTCTCCTCCTCCTCCTCCTCCTCCCTCCTCCTCCTCCTCCTCCTCCTGTCTCCCTCTCCTCCTGTCTCCTCCTCCCTCCTCCTCCTCCTCCTCCTGTCTCCTTCTCCTCCTCCTGTTTCATCTTCTTCCTCCTCCTCTTCCTCCGTTCCTTCTCCTCGGTCCATCCTCAGCCACTTCCGTTGGCCGCGCCCCGCTCGAGAAGCTTCGAAATGGGTGTCCAAGGCCCTTGCATCCTTATCGCGCATCCTTACTATACTGGTTGACTGTACCCCCCCAGTTGGGGATACACCCCTCGAAGCCCGAAGGATACAGCCTATATCCCCATCTAGGGGGGTCAATCGGCCAGGTGGGTGGGCCCAGGCCGCGCCGCTGGGGATGGGGGTCGGATCAACGATGCTCATTGGGCGGGGAGAAGTCTTAAGTCGGGCACATCCCTCTTACAGGAGGAGTATTCCAAAGTAGGTAAAACATTGTCCAGCGGCGATTTTGTGATTCTTGTTGTCGGCATGTTTGAATATCTTTACCCATTTCTTGTTTTTCCGGCCAAAATCCGCCTGTGGGAGGACATGCCCGACCTAAGGATAAATCCGCTCCAGAGCATTCCAACGCGCAGGGCTCGAGCTAAGCCGTGTTTCGGCGACATCGGGGGCTGTTCTGGTTTGGGTTCTGGGACGCTCCGAGAAGGCCGCCGCGCCGGAGCCATCCTCAAGAGCCGTGAGATCCGAGAGGAGGAGAAGGAGGAGGAGGAGGACGAGGACGAGGACGAGGACGAGGACGAGGACGAGGACGAGGACGAGGACGAGGAGGAGGACGAGGACGACGACGAGGACGAGGACGAGGACGAGGAGGAGGACGAGGACGAGGACGAGGACGAGGACGAGGACGAGGACGAGGACGAGGACGAGGACGAGGACGAGGAGGAGGACGAGGACGAGGACGAGGACGAGGACGAGGACGAGGACGCGGACGAGGACGAGGACGAGACGAGGATGAGAGGAGAGCAGGAGGAGGACGAGACGAAGACGAGGACGAGGACGAGGGACCTAGGACGAGGACGAGGACGAGGAGAGGAGGAGGAGGAAGGAGGAGGAGGAGGATGCGTGGAGGGGAGGAGGAGAGTATGGGAGAGAGGAGAGGGAGTAGGAGGGGGAGTGGGATGGGAGGGGGAGGGGGAGGGGGAGGGGTAGGGGAAGGGGGAGGAGAGGGAGGAGGAGTGGGAGGGGGAGGGGTGGGAGGGGGAGGGGGAAGTGGGCGGGTGAGGTGGAGGGGGAGGGATGGGGGAGGGGGAGGGGGAGGGGGAGGGGAGGGGGGTAGGGGGAGGGAGGAGGGGGAGGGGAGGGGGGGGGGAGGGGGAGGGGAGGGGGAGGGGGGGGGGAGGAGGACGAGGACGCGGAGAGGACGGACGAGGACGAGGACGAGAGGAGGAACGAGACGAGGAGGAGCAGAGAGGAGGAGCAGGAGGGAGGAGGAGAGGAGGAGGAGGAGAGGGAGAGGCGGGGGAGTGGGGGGGGAGGGGGAGGGGGAGGGGAGGGGGAGGGGGAGGGGAGGTGGAGGGGGAGGGGGAGGGGAGGGGAAGAGGGAGAGGGAGGAGGAGTGGAGGGGAGAGGCGGGGGAGGGGGAGGGGAGGGGGAGGGAGGGGGAGGGGAAGAGGGAGGAGAGGGAGGAGAGGAGGAGAGGGAGGAGGAGTGGGAGGGGGAGGAGGGGAGGAGGGGGAGGGGGAGGGTGAGGGGAGGGGGAGGGGAGGGGAGGGGGAGGGGGAGGGGGGGGAGGGGAGGGGGAGGGAGGGGAGGGAGGAGGGGGGGGGGAGGGGGAGGGGGAGGGGGAGGGGGAGGGGGAGGGGAGGGGGAGGGGAGGGGGAGGGGAGGGGGAGGGGGAGGGGGAGGGAGGGAGGGGAAGGGGGAGAGGTGGAGGAGGAGGAGGAGGAGGAGGAGGAAGAGGAGGAGGAGGAGGGGGGGAGGAGGACCAGTGCAGACCCAAGACTCCACGATGTTGGAATAAACCCTCCCCCGCATGCTCCCTCATAGATCCCTATACGGGTTCATTTCCACGGAGAGATACGCCCCGTTGACTCCCACGCCACGAATCAACCATACTGTTGCGTCTTGACGATCCTGAATCGTGCCAGAGCGCCCTTCCTTGGACTTCAACACCGCAAGTCAACGTAACTGTCGCGCCCTGGCGGTCCTGAATCGTTCCCAAACACCATTGATGGTCCGCTAACCTTGGAAACCCGTGAAACGCCGTGCACATATTTAAGACGAGTGTGCGCGGCGCTAAAGTGAGAGCCACATGTTGAAAAGAAACCGCCATCAATCCGCTAAGTACATGCGTTTGTTTAAATCGAATGCGCGCAGCGCTACGGCGAGAGCCACATGTTGAAATCCGCCCGCCCTCAATCCGCGAAGTTCGTGCAATTCTCCACACGCATGTGCGCGGCGCTACTGCGAGAGTCACATGTTGGAAGCGACCCTCCCATGTGTGAAAGTGCTGATCACATCTAAGTTGCAGGATCATGCGTGGGGAGGAAGTATTAGGGGAAACGCCGGGCCCGCCCTTCCGACTGGCCTCGGGTGCGACAGGGAGGAGTTGCTTATAAGGAAAATGAATGGAGGAGGAGTGCGACGACCTTGCCTCAGGAGGGAGAACAACACGCAGGCACAATTAATCGTCGATTCCCGGGAAAATATGCGAAAATATGGGAAGTGTGAGGAAGGCAAAAACTTTGAACATAGGGGAAAATATCGGGAATCCAGCTATTTGTGCGTATGTGTTTGTGTGTCCCAGGGCCCCTTCGTTGCCGTTGTCGCCCCCCCGCGCGCGCCCCAGGGCACGCAGCGCGGGGAAAAAACGCCGCACAGGGGGGATGACTACGTCCCCCAAGACTGGGTGTTCAACACCCAGTCTTCCACGGTTGGCACGCAACGTCGTCGGCACGACCATCGCCTTCCATCGTAGGTCGTGAGGCGGCGTCCGTCAACCCAGACCGACCGACGCGCCAAATTTAATTATGATTGCCACCCCTGGTCCCCGCAACAAGGTGCAGTTTTGCTGTGTGTAGTTGTAGATGTGTTCGATGTTGGTAGGGTTTATAGGTTTATCGCGTGGCAGCAGTCGCGTCGATTCGCGGCGTTGAAGTTGAAGGAGCGGCGTTCAGGCGCGATTCGGGATCGTCAGGGCGCAGAGTAGAGGCCCAAGGCTCATATCTGGGCCCGATGGATGAGCTTCAAACGGTTGTCTTCCAGCGGTGCACTTCCCGCGATGAAGTCAAACCCTGGAGAGGGACATTGGGAGGGTTCATTGTAACATCGCTGATGCGTCTTGGGTTTGCAGTGGCCCTCGTCCTCATAGGATTCTCCTTCCCCGCTGACCCACTGATCCACTGGTGGCAAGAAAGACACGGGCGCAGCGGCTCCAGCAGTCGCAGTCCGAACGGGCGGGGGCCCAACCCAGACCATGCGGGACTCTTGTCAGGCCCCTATATGCCGCCACGCTGGTTCCGGGCAGGCTGTGCTGTCCGGCGGAAGGGGACGAGGAGGGGAGAAGCAGGCAGACGACGACGAACGCCCAGGCGGGAGGCCAGGGTCGGCGGGGCGGGCGGGCAGGCAGAAGACGGCATGGACCAGGCGGAGACAGCAGGCAGGGAGCAGGAGGAAAGGAAAGGGAGGGAAGCAACGAGCAGAAGCGAAGGGAGGGGGAGGAGGGGAAGGAGGACAAGGAGGAGAGAAAGCAGCGACCGCGCCAGCTACAGGAACCGTTGAAACGGTTTTAAAACATCAAAGCGAATGTGCCGTTCGCTAGGGCAAACGATTCATGTTGAGAAGGAGCCGCCCTCTGCCACCGTGAAGCTCTTGCCGACTTCCCAGACGAGTGTGTGCGGCACTGATGCGAAGCCACATTATGAAAGCGGCACGCCGTGAATGTGTGAAACTCTTGCAACCGTCCACGACGAATGTACGCAGCGCTGAAGCGATGCATACATGTTGAAAACGACCCGCATCACATCCGTGAGGCGCATGCGACTGTTTGAACCGCATGTGCGCGGCGCTGAGGCGAACACCACATTTTGGAAACGGCCCGCCCTCCACCCGTGAGCCAGCGGCAATTTCACCAGTCTCCGCCTGGCGGCTTACTCCCCAGTCGACGGCTCCCTCCTCTGAGCGGCAGCGAAGCCCGCCTCCTGTTTGTTCCTCCCTCCGTTGTCCTCCCGTTGCCTCCCTTCCCCCCTTTTGTTGCGCAATTCCTTCGTAGCCCGTTTGCTACGACTTTTGGACGGCGTCTGGCGTCTCCCGGTGCGCTTGCGATCAAAATCCCCACCAGCCCGTTTGGAAACGTTGCCCAGCGTTTTGACAGGACAAATGGCGAACAGCCACATGTTGTCCAACAGAGCGAACAACCAGGATGAACCGAGAGATTTTTGGGAGCAAAAGGCAAAAGGGTGGCGTTGGAGGGCTTCTTCGGGCCATCCCAGTGGCTCGCGGAGGGGGGGCGAGGTGGTGGAAGAGGAGGAGGAGGAGGAAAAGAAGGAGGAGGAGGATCCGATTCGATTTGCACACCTTCAGCGCCAACGTGATTCTGTCGTAATGAAGTTTTCTGCTGTCGATTTGATTTCAAAATCGCTCAACCGTGACTTCGGATATTTCACAAGGCTGCAGATGGTACCTCTTGCGGTCTATTTCTAGCTTGAAGAGGCGGGTGCGTATGCCATATTTGATGCACCAGGGCCGCAGCTAAGGTCCCGAGGAGGACCAGTCTGGCCCTGGCCGCCAACGACGCATGAGGTAGCCACGAGGGATCGAAAAGGTGGATGGCCATCAGATGACGAGCCTCTCATATCCTCCGCCCTGCTCTCCAAGAAACTCGTCGGGCATGGTTCCATGGAATGGGTCGATAAAAGT